GAATGATGGATATCATTTTTTTCCCATTTCTGGGTAAGTCAGTCGTTTTGACTTCTGCTTCAGCTTTTAGACTTTCTTAGTTGACTTTCACTTTCACTCTCATCTTTATGTTTCTTGCTCAGGTTCATTTTTCAGTGATTTCCTCAGTGATTTTTCCTTTTCTGTTTCTGTTTTTTCAGGTGTGTCCAATGTTTCCTGTTCTACTACAGGTAAGTGGTTTCTCTCTTGCATGCTTTCTTTTACAGGTTCAGCAGTACCAGGTTCGATCTCAGGCAAGTATTGTGAATCAGGCAATTTCTTTGTATTTACTGTGTATTATGTTCCAGGTGGATCTCTTTTTCCTGACACACTTCCTGCATTTGCATGGTCCAAAGCAGTGTTGGGAACAGGCATTGGGTCGGGTAAGGTTTGGTTTGTGGATTCACAATTCAAGGGAATTTCTGTGGAGCTCTTTATTATGTTGTACTCCCGGATAAACCGGTCAGAAGTAATCACTGGCACATCAAAGTTTTTGGTGTTGGTAATCATCCTCATCAGAATTCAGATGTATGTGTATCACAGGGTCCCACCTGTCAGGCAGTTTATGTTTTCCGCGTATCCTCACATTTCTGACTAATACGCAATCACATTCTACAAGAATTACCTCAGTTACTTTACGGTCAAACCGGACTTTATTTCTTTGCGCAGTTTTTTCTGCATTCTTCTGAGCTAACTTATATCTTCATAACTGAAGATGAGTTTTTAGCGACTAAACATTTTGTGAGTGGGATCTGGGATTAACATGGTTCACTGAAGTGTTGAAAATCAAATCTACTGGCAGTCTTGGCTGGCGTCCGAACATATGTTCATATGGTGTGTAGCCAGTTGTCTCGTGCTTTGTGCAGTTATAAGCGTGCACAAGTGACTTTACAAATTCTTTCCAATGAGTTTTATCTTGGGTTTTCAATGTACTCCAACAATGTATTCCCAACAGTCTGATTAAAATGCTCAACTGGATTTCCTCTTGGGTGAAATAGTGTAGTTCTGATCTTTTTAATACCTGAAATTTCACAAACACATTGTCTTAGACTCAAAGTCAGGTCCTTGGTCACTGTGGAGCTTTTTAGGAATGCCGTGGTGAACTAAGAAGTTTTCCCACAAGCTTTTCGCAACTGTTCTGGCTTTCTGGTTTGGTGTGGGGACTGCAACTGCATACTTGAAGAAATCTGTTATTACTAGGATATCTTTGGTGTTGCTACAGTCAGGTTCGAGGGACAAGAAATTAATGCACAACGATTCGAGTGGGCGGGTGACTTCGATGTTCACCAGGGGTGCTGCACTTTCTGGCAAGGTCTTTCTACATACACAGCGACTGCAGGTTTTGACTTTATTCTGCACATCAGTGGCCATCCTGGGCCAATAGAATTGTGACTGGATAAGATCAAGAGTGCATTCTATTCCCATATGACCCATGTTGTCATGCAGACTTTCCATGGCTACAGCTCTTAAATCAAGTGGAAGAACAAGTTGGTATGTAATGGAATCTCCAAGAGTTCTTTTTCGGTAGAGGACACAATTTTCAGTTCAAGTCTTCTCCACTCTCTCAGCAGGATAGGAAGATCTAATAGCTCGTGCCTCAGTGAAGGTAAGACTGTGTTTCCTGTTTCCATGTGGATTATAATTTCTTGAAGTGCTGGATCATTTCTTTGTTTTTCTCTCAACTCTTGCTCTGACATACAAGAAACAACTGAAGATCCTCCCATGTTCTCATACTCCTAAGGAATTGCTTCTGGGCACATAGTGAATGAGAGTGAGGCTGTTGCTGGCGTCGGCTTGATATAAAAGCTTATAATAGACTGCTTGAACTACATGAGCAGAAACCAGGGTGGACTTTGCTGCTTCAGGTGAGTGTGACTGTGAACTGGTGTATTCGGTCTTGCTCTTTTTGGGATGGTAAGTTATTAACTAGATCACTATGGGGCTGTCTGGAAAGTGCATCCGCATCAAGATTGCTTTTTTCCAGGGTGATACTGGAGGGTTAAATTGAAAGTTGACAAAGCAGACAACCACCTATAGCTGGTTGCATCCAACTATGCTGAAGTTAAGATGTGTGTAAGGGAGTTATTGTCTGTAATGACTTTAAAACTGCATCCATAAAGGTAATCACAAAACTTTTCGGTAACTGCCCATTTCAGGGTGAGGAATTCCAGCTTGTGGGCAGGATACCAAGGCTTCGCTCCATGACAAACCTCTACTGGTATTTGCAATTACCCGTGACACGTCTTGCTCTTGATAGAGTGCTGCGCCTAGTCCAGTGGTACTCGCATCTGTATGCACTACATATGGCAACGAAGAATCTGCAAATCCTAAAACTACTTGGCACTTGGTCCATAATAATTGTCCCATGCAGCTTGGCGTTCCTTCAACTGTTTCCTTTTCTCCGTCACTAGACACAGGTTTGGTATGTTCTCAAATTGATGTGACATGTCCATCCTCACCGCACAGAAAACAATAGCCTGGCTTTGGTCTGTGATTTGGCTTTTGACTGGCTGGAGATCGATTCTCTTTGGGGAACTGCACATTATTTTGTTTTGCTCTGTTTGAATTGCTCCTTGACTTTGGGCTCTTTTGGACTTTAAGCCTCATCATTTGATTCTGAAGCTTGGAGACTTGTTGTTTTAGCTCACGAACAGCGTCGGCTTGTGGCAACACAGTTGGCTGTTTGTTTACTCTTTTTAGCAAGCTGGTTTTGGAACTTGGAAATTAGTTTTTTTTCAACTCAGCAAGCTCAGTTTCTTCTTCTACTTTATGCTGTTAAAAGGTGTTAGCAGAGACAATGTGGGAACACCTTGTTTCGGTGTTCCTAAGTACGGTCTCATTCTGCTTTCTCCTCACTGCGCAGCTGCAAGAGTAACTCTGGAAATAAGGGTGGATTACTACCTTTGTGCTCAAGCTGAAGATTTGCTATAAGTGCATTGTCCCAACAACAGAATTGTTTTAGAAACTGTCGATCGACCTCATCAGTAACAATACCATCTCTTTTTATCACCTTAATGTTTGTGTGTAGTCTTTGCAAATACAGGGAAGGCTTTTCACCTGCATTTTGCAGTGTATTCAGAAACTTGGCAAAGAAATCATCTCCGTCTTCTACTGTATCAAAGCTGAATCCCAGATCTCTAGATAAGCAGCTGGTAAGGCTTTTGCACCTAGCTGTTTGACAATTTCTGATGCTGGGGGCAGCAGGCTGACTATGATCTTTCTGGATCGATGTAAATCAAACAGTGAAGAGTTTTGAAGAATTAAATCGACACTGTTCCACCAAGTGTCATAGTCAACTTCGCCACTGAGGCGGGGAATTCTGCCAAATAACATTTTTAGTCTGAAAGGTGTACTAGAAGATAAAGCTCCATCACTTCTGACAATGTGCTCTACAACCATTCTTTACACTTCAGACAGACTGAATCTAAGAACTTTAAACTAACAGGAAGTACATTTTCAGAATTTAATTTTAAATTACAAGGACAAACATGTTTTTATCTTAATGACATGCACAGATGAATTGCTCACAACAAAACTAGCAATGTGAGCTTACAAAATCATACGTTTAGTTTTAATTTCATTTGTACTTTAAAGCAAGGGTTACCAAACTTTTCAGCCCACACACACACACACACACACACACACACACACAAGCACCCACATACATATATATATATACATACACACACACACACACACACACACACACACCAATAAGCCCAAGTCTATTCTTCAATTAATTGTTAAATGTATGAGAGTGCTGTAAATATGTCAGAAAGTTTAACCTGGTGCCATAAAATTAATCTGCTCCATCTGTCTTTTATACAATGCATCCCCCCAATAGTGACAGTTCAATAAAAAAAAATCAAAAGGCTGTATCTATAAACTACTATTTTAATCTTCACTAGGTTATGGATAAAATATTGTAACTCTAATGGTTTCATTAAAATTAATTAGATTTTTGGAAAACAGTAAGCAACCTCCCTATCCTGTGACCCCCACTATAGGAACCACTGCTTTAAAGGATAACAAGCTGCTGCTTACTCTCCCCTTCTCTAATGCTGGATCTCGAATGGCTGGTACTGTTCACCGCACACAAGAACTAGCTTGTTACATCACAACCGGCATGAAATTCCATCAGGTCAAATGATGGCACATATTTCCACTCGGTTTATTAAAACTGTCTGCCTTTTTTCTTTTGAACCTTTCTGAGCAGATAGACTGCAGAAACTTAACTATATACAACAAAACATCTCTACAAAGATGAAAATTTCATCCAATGTTATTTCACAGCATATGGTTCTCAATTGCAGTCCTTGGGCCCCCTTGCCGAGGACCGGAATTGAAAACAATTAATGTTTTATTCATTTTTACAAGTCAAAATACAGGATATTCAGTAAAAATCAATGTGACTGACACATTTTGAAGGTACTTTTGAATAAGGATGAAAAATGACCAGAATGGGTTTGAAGTGATAAATTTACTGCACTGGCAGATTCAAATGCATCAGTGTTTATTTTATTTTATTTATTCTTTATTTGTACACAAAATTTTACTATATCTTGTGGTTCACTTACACAACAATATACAAAAAAAAGGCTTTCCTTGGTTAATGGTTAACTGATTAATTCCAACTGACACACTAAAAGGAAAAAAGCTAGTAGGTAGGTTAGTAGCAAGTTGTATTGAAACATTATATGACTTCACATGTATTTTTGTAGTTTACATGACTCAATATTAGTATGAATGAGGGTATATGGGTGTTTCACAGTGATGAGTCGCAGCTGGAAGGGCATCCGCTTTGTAAAACATATGCTGGATAAGTTGGCTTGTAATTCCGCTGTGGTGAACCCTGATCAAAAAAGGAACTAAGCCGAAAAGAATATGAATGAATGAATCTTCCAATTTATACTGACAACATCAACAAATCATTATGAAATGAACCAGGACAGCACTGCACAGTCAATGTTTGTGCTGTAAACTGTACTCTGTTTTGATTTTATTTCAATGTGTATTGCAGTCTGCAGTGTGTAAGTTAGCAGTCTCATTCATGTTTTTTTCAGCATGTTGTAGGAGATTATGGATCGACTCTCTTAGTCGGTTTTGTTCTTTAACTCCCTGGATCAACACTTCGGCTTTCTTCCCATATTCCAGAGCCTAGATACACAAACGAAAACAAAAAACATGCCAATAAAGTGCTCCGCATAATTGAGTACACTCCATTTTGAAAATTAATATTTTTATCCATTTCTCAGTGAATATAGGCAATGTATTTTGGTGTATTTAAACAAAACAGATTTATTAAACAGATATATTTATCACAATATTATTTTAGTCACCAAACATACTTAGAAATTAAAATATGATGCAATTAAATTCAAGCTAAATATTGCAAAAAAATAAAAATAAACTACAAAATTCAATGACATCAACTAAATAAAAAAAAATTCTCTAGATTTTTTTTCTCTTTTTTATTTTATTTGTATTTTTCTATAACATATACAGTTGAAGTCAGAATTATTAGCCTCCCTGTTTATCTCCACCCCCCCCCCCCCAATTTCTATTTATCGGAGAGAAGATTTTTCTAAAGAACACATTTCTAAACAATAGTTTTAATAACTTCTATCTAATAACGGATATATTTTGTCTTTGCCATGATGACAGTAAATATTATTCGACTAGATATTTTTCAAGACACTTCTATACAGCTTAAAGTGACATTTAATGGCTTAACAGGGTAATTAGGTTAACTAGGCAGGTTAGGGTAATTAGGCAAGCAGTGGCGTAGCACAAAATGCGGAGGCCCCCCTGCAGGGATCGCTGACGGGGCCCCCTGATGAAGGGGGGGGGGGGGGGGGGGGGTACGTCATACGTCAATTTGCATATCACTGACGTCATCACGTTCTACCGTTTCTGTTTAACAGCCTATGGTTAATAAAGGGGTATTTATAATTGCACTACACTTTATATAAGGATGTTTATTTAACTACATATATTGCTGTTTGAATACAGTATATCATTATAGATGTGTAACGTTAGTGAATGTGCAGTAATCTCTCATATGAAATAAACTCAGACAAGTTCAGAAACTGTCACTAAAATATCTGTGATTGTGAACAAGAAAAGAATAAACGGTCCAAATAAATTGTTAAAATAAAGTGGAAGTAGATCAATTTGACATTACAAGTGAAATACCTTCACACTGCCTGTGCTAAATCATTTGTCGTCGGTACGCAGAGGGGTGATCTGCTCTCGGGCTGCAGGTGGGAGAGGCTGCTGTAGAGGACTGACTGGGCCGCCTGTCAGTGCTGTGAGGCGGGGGAGGGGCCGGCGGCATCACACGCAGCTCGTTGAGAAGAGTAGGGACGGTACAGTATGGAAAAATGACAGTCTAAAAAAATCTCCAATAACACACAAAAAAGTCGCTAGGGGGGTCTGAAAAGTCGCTAAATCTAGTGACAAAGTCGCTAAGTTGGCAACATTGGCGGCAAGCAATCAGAATGAAGTAGTCCACCGCTTGAGAGGTGTTCAGAGAACACAGACGTGTGAACTTTGGTTCCGACCACAGTTGTTCCCAACAGTTTATTGAAAATCGCGACGACGCGGGGCCCCCTAATCACGCGGGGCCCCCCCGCGGTGCGTGCCCTGCGGGCCCGTCCGCTACGCCACTGTAGGCAAGTTATTGTATAACAATGGTTTGTTCTGTAGACTATTGAAAAAATATATAGCTTAAAGGGGCTAATAATCTTGACCTTAAAATGACTTTTAAAAAACTGCTTTTACTGTAACTAAAATACAATAAATAAAACTTTCTACAGAAGAGAAAAGATTATCAGACATACTGTAAAAATTTCCTTGCTCTGTTAAACATCATTTGGGAAATATTTAAAAAAAAAGAAAAAAATCAAAGGGGGCTAATAATTCTGACTTCAACTCTAAATTTGTGTGTACTAATTATTGTTTGTGTTATTTTGTTAGATAAGCTCCAAATTTCTCTTCAGTCCTGACTAATTTAATGTATATGCACACATATAGAATTGTATAGCTTTCTATTACAAATCTGAATTTAAAAGAGAGAATTGATGGGGTGTACTTATGTATGAGCACTGTTTACACCAAAAACAAAAAAGATCTGATTTCCAAACTAATAAAAAAAAAAAAAATTTTTTTTAACTATTTATTAATAGTGCAGAGAAGTTTAGCACAGTTTGATGAATAATACGATTTTAGCAGTTTGATAGAGTTGATGAGTTGTGAGGCAATAAATAGGTGAGTTTAGTAGTAGTTGATCTTGAGAACAGGTAGGTTGAACTAGTTTGTGATAAGAAGCAGTAGACGGAGATGTAGGAATCCTAATGGAGAATCCCATTACAACCAGGAAAGGAGTGGGACAGTCTTACTGTCAATTTCCATCATGGACTTTAGGCTTTAGTGTTAATCTGGTCTGAATTTAAAAGATTTCATTCACACATTCAACCACGTCTGAATTCAAACCATTCAGTTGACAAAACAGTTGACGTCAAAATTGTTTATTATTATTATCAAACTATAATTCATATTTCCCAAATTATATTTAACAGTGCAAGGAAATTTTCACAGTATATCCTGTAGCATTTTTTCTTCTTCTGGAGAAAGTCTTACTTGCTTTATTTCGGCTAGAATTAAAACTGTTTTTATTGTATAAAAAAACATTTAGTCATTATTATTATGTTTTATTCTCTATATATATATATATATATATATATATATATATATATATATATATATATATATTAAAATATATATTTATTTTTCAATAGTCTACAGAACAAACCATCATTGTACAATGACTTGCCTAATTTCCCTAACTTCCCTAATTAACCAAGTTAAACCTTTAAATTGTACTTTATGCTGTATATTAGTATCTTGAAAAATATCTAGCAAAGTAATATTTACTGTCATCATGGCAAAGATAAACAAAATTAGCTATTAGAAATTAGTTCAACACGAGGAGAATATGCAAACTCCACACTGAAATGCCAACTGACCCAGCCAAGGCTTAAACCAGCAACCTTCTTGCTGTGAGGCGACAGCGCTACCCACTGCGCCATCACGTCGCTCAAGAAATTATTTATTAAAACTATTATGTTTAGAAATGTGTTGAAAACTCTCCTATTTTATTTAATTGTATTTAAATTATTATGTTTTATTATTTATTTATTTTTACCATGTATAACATTAGTGTACATGCGCACAAAAGGAAAGCACATACTGCTGAAAGAGAAAGTTGATGTAAAGAATTTGTGCTTATATTTGAGTGTACTCAGATGTGTGACCTCTAACATGTACCTAATCTAAGTGTAAGGGGCTGATAATTGTGACTGTATCTACACACATTTAATAAATGTTTGGTTATTTCCTATGAATTGCTTATGCAGAGCAGTGTCGAGGAGGTGAGTGTTGAATTCAGGAGCATATTGTGAATGTATCACATGAACTTTCTGAATGGAATATTTAATTAGTTGATCTCTATTGTTTACCTTGGTGTAGTTGTCGCGTAGCAGCCACAGCATAGCCAGAGAGTGAGCCAACATGGTTAGTTGTTCAGGCCGAGGTTTCACACACTGTTCCTCAAACTCTAGAATACAACTCAACATCTGATCAGCCTCCACACACTGCACTTCATCTGCACAAACACACAGAAGAGGAAACTCACAGGTCACGGCTCAGTCTAGTGGTGTGATTCTGTGAAAGCAGATCCACTTTTCTTCTGGGGCGAGTGAACCGGGGAAAATTGATGTGCATTGCTGAATGAAGACTTCTGTTGAAGAATCCCTAAGAGATACACAGAAACACAATCTACTGTTCTCTCTAATTAAATAAATATTTGAGCTACCGCTTACAGAATGAAGGTATTGTATCGAAATGAAAACAGGCTTTATTCTAAAAACATAACAGCACATATCATTTGAATTTGCCGAAAAATCTAAATTAAAGCTTTATGGGTTATAGTGTCTAAAGTGCTATTTAATTAGTATTTATTTATTTATATTGCAATTGTGTTTTGCAATAGATTTTTAGATTTTGTGTAATAATCATTTTTATGCTCATAATAATTTGTCAAAATAGTGGTCATGTGGCCTATGAAAAAAGATTTGCAAGTGATCTGACATTTTTTTAACACCAAAAACTTTTCACTCAAAAACTGATTGTAAATTGAACTAATAAGGTAAATGTAATAAAACAACTGGCAAGTCATATTTAATTAAATGTTAGCATTTTAAGTGGAGAGACATTTTTACAAGATACATTTTTTTTCTTGTAAAATAATGTTTAATTTACTAAAACGTTTTCGAACACAACACCATTCAAACTTTTTAGGTCAGTAGAACTGTCTATAAGATTGCAAGTCATCTCTCTCTCTCTCTCTCTCTCTGTCTATTGCTGTCTCTTAGCTTAAATAAATAACTGCTTTATTGGCATGACAAATGTTACAAATGAATTACCAAAGCATTTGTAAAGTTTGCATTATACTATACATATTAACACACACATATATACACACACCTATGTAGTATGAGTAATCATAAATGCACAATGAATAATTAAAATAAATTTGCATTAAATTGATTTAACATCACATTTATTAATTTATTACTAAAATAAAAACAATTATGCTGATACTTATTGCACTACCCGATGTAAACAAACCAAGTTTATAAATAGTTACAGATCCGCCTGACTAAACGGATCTCATAGTATGATGTTTGGCTGGACTGGCATGATCTGCCTGTCTGCCCTACTGAGGCAATAAGAACAGCACTGTGTCCCTGATTGCTATCAGGTCATGCCTGTTGTTGTTGTTGCTCTGAGGTGCTGCATCCACAAGGCCGGCTGAGCTCTTTCCTGCTATACAGTCATCTGGTCACAAGTTATAATATGATGTGGCTGCCTGAGGGCGGAACCGGCGCCAGTCGGCTGACCCCGGGTCAGTTGTTAGGAGGCCAGAGAACATGAGGAATCAAGCACACTGACCACTGACCAGCCGGCAGGGAGGCTGAGTTAAACTGGCCACGTCACTGACAGACTTAGCCAAAACAGCACTGAGGTTAATAGGCTTAGAGAGAGAGAAGTAGGGCAGGAGAGCAGCACGTACTCACGACAGTGTCACGTTTGATCTTAGTTATCAGAGAAATGAAGTGGGTTTTGCTTCAGGACTCCACCTCATGACATGGCTCTAAATATAAAGCTGATCTCAAACTAACAAGATAAAGTCATGCTGGTATATAGGCTGTTTAAAAGCTTACAAACAATAAACTCGCATATGTGAAATTTTTTATGGTTGACAAAAATGTTGTTTTAATTTTATTTGATTTAGGTATTTCTTCTAATAGGTAATAAAAAGTTCTTTGCTTGTAATATTATGAAATATTTTTACAATTTAAAATCTAATTTATTCTTGTGATGGTAAAGCTGAATTATCAGTACCTAACTCAAATCTTAAATATCATATTTATTTATTCATGAATTAAAATATTTTGCTGATTTGCATAAAAAAAACCTTATTATTAATGCTAAAACATGCAAAAATGTATTTAATTTTTTTTCTAGGTTTCTAAAATATGAGAAAATGTGTAATTTGAAAAACATGTTATTACTTTTGATGAATTGAATACATCCTTGATAATTAAAAATAAAAAATATATACATATACTGACCTAAACTTTAAACTAACAATGTGTGTAAAAATATCAAAATATTGTAATTCATACGCAGTTTATATAGTAGTTCAATAAGTATTGAACATGTCACCCTTTACTCAGGAAACTTCTAAAAATTTCTACATCTAGTGACTTGAAATTGTCAAGAAATCAAAACTAACTAGTTTAGAAATTAAATTATGGAAAAAAGTATTGAACATATGAAGAAATTAAGGTGTAAAAAGGCATGGAAAACCCAGACAGCAGCTGAAATCTCTCAGTTGTTATATAGCAATCCTGACCCTGGTCATTGTAATAACTGCTTCAGTCCCAACACCTACATTACCAGGATGATAAAATGTAATTAGGGTGGACATTTCAGCAAGACATTGATCCGAAATACAGCCAAAGAAACTCTCCACTGGTTTCAGAAAAAGAAACAAAGCTGCTAGAATGGCCCAGACAATTTGATTTGAATACAATAAAAAAACAAAACTAAGGATCAGAGTTTGTAGACGAGACCCAAGAAGTGTCAACATTTGAAGCCTCTGTTGAAGTCTGTAAAAACAGAAAATCACAGCTGAGCAATGCATAAGACTCTATTCTCCATACAAGAGGCATCTTGAATCTGTCATTACTTAAGTATTAAATAAGTAACATCTTTTATTATTTGGCTTATTTGTGTTTGGATTGCTTGGGTTTTTACTAAAATCTGGGTCAATTTCATGTCAACATCTTTTTTAGGAATAAATTTACCAGGAGAAATCACGATGTGTTCAATGCTTATTTAACTCGCTATATATAGTTTGTGCGTGTGTGTATATACACACAAACACTCATCAAAAGTAAGGCGTTATATATAGGCTTCCTGAATGAATAATGGAACCTTTTTGAAAGATTCTATTTGCAGATATGCCTTTGTCTAGCTTTACAGCTTTTATGCCACTTACTAAAACACTCGTCTGGTTGAGTGGCACTCTGACTGATACCATCCATCAGCTTACACAGGTGGGTGTGCCATGAACCTGCCACCTGTACACACACATGCAGACAGGCAACATGATGAGAGACTTTTACAGAGAGAGAGAGATGTGCCAGTGTGAGCGTCTACCTCTGTGTAGAGCGAGTGGGCAATGTCAGGCTTGTTTTGCTTCAGAAACACATCAGCCATGAGGAAATATCCTCCAGACGTCACAATACTGTCCAAACCAAACATCTCAATGGCATAGTACACCTACACACAGAAAAAAAGAAAAAATACATTCTGCGTTCCAAAGTAAACTGTGATGAAGGAGGTTAAAAAAATATATAAACACCTAATCAGCCAATCACAAAGCAACATCTCAATGCATTTAGGCATGTGGATGATGGCAAGACGATCAAACTGAGCATTATAAAGAAAAGTGAATCTGTCATAGTTGTTGGTGCCAAACAGGCTGGTCTGAGTATTTCAGAAAGTGCTAAGCTAGAGGGATTTTCATGCATAAACATCTCTAGGGTTTACAGGCGCTTCTTTAAGAAAGTAAAAAAAAATCCAGAGCACAAATTTTGTGTATAAAAAAGCCTAGCTGATGCCAGAGGTCAAACATGTTCAAGTTGATTGAAATGCAACAGTAAATTAATTTGAAGAAGAGCATCTATAAACACACCTTAAAGCAGATGAGATACAGCAGCAGAAAAAGGGCACACCGGCCATGTGGTACTGGATGGATATGCAAGAAACAAACGGGTTGCAGGAAGGGGTGGTTAAAGGGTGGTTTGAGGGGCCTGTGGGGTTAGGGCCCCTGTTCTAGTTATCTTTCCTACCCCTTAGAATGTGCTACCCACATGTACTGTGCATGTCCAAAACCTTTTCAAATATCTTGTCAGCTTCTATTGTCTAGAAAAATGATCTACCACTAAAATGAACATAGTGAAACAGGGGTAGAACATCTTGTCAGCTTTAAACGTCTATTAGTGTTTCTACATTGTTTATTATGGTGGCTGTTCATTCTGAAATTTGAGGTTGACCATTTGTGCTTCCCCTATTTTATTGCATGAAACATGACAATAAGGTAATTTATTTAATTGTTAACTGATGTTTGTTAACTGATCGTTAACTGAAAAAAAAAATTGTTCAGTTAGATTCAATAACCACTTAACATTTCACAAATGTTTTCTTTCTTTTGGTTTGTTTTTGTATTATGTATGTCTTAAGTTATGTCAGATTTATTAATATAGTAAATCATATGATTTTCATTGAGCAGGTGTAATATTAATTAATATTAATTATTCAAATTCTTATTTCCACTAAGGTGCTGCTGTTTGGGGTCAAATGATAGTTATGTCATCATTAACCTGCAGGCTGCATTTTGCTCACGGGGCCGCGAGAAAATAAATAAAAAGAACGGAGCTGCGGCAAAATAATGAATAAAAAGAGTGAAGCTATCGTCAAACAAATAAATAAATGAAAAAAGTGGGACTGCTGAGAGTGCAAGCAGCTAGGGACACCGGCCCTCAGGCTAAAAACGGAACAGCCCACCGGGAATTCTCCCGGTCCTCCCGATCAGTCAATCCGGGCCTGTTTGTAATGAATGCAAGTATAATAATGAACTTTATCAGACTCTACTATGCCACTGCACAAGGACACTTCAGTCAGCTAACAACAGCAAACATTGGCTAAAATTCACACGATCTAAACAAAACTGAACATCAGAAGACTGGAAAAAGTCTCAATTTTCGCTGTGAGATTCAGATGGTTGGGTCAAAAATAGTTTTAAACAAGATAAAAGTATACAGTATAGTCAACATTTGAAGTGGATCAATAAGTTTCTAAGACAATAGATTTAGAACAACTTTGGTGAAAGGTTTGATCCATTTTAAATGTTGACTACTTTAGATCTCTCCTGCTTTGGATCAGCAGTTCAGGCTGAGGTGATGAGCCAGATATTTTCCAGCCACACTTTGTTTAAAATTTTTTTTTAACTCAACTTAGCATTGGGTTTTGTTGCTGACCATATCCATCCCTTTATGCCACAGTGTCCATATCTTGTGATGTCTACTTCCAGAAGATCAAATGATCTGAAACTGGTTTCTTAAACCTAAAAATGGCCTCCAAAGTCACAACAGAGCACTTAAAGATGTGGTGGAAGATAAGATTTACATCATGAATGTTCATGTGAGAAATCTGCAGCAACAGTATGATGCTATCTTGTCAGTATAGACCATAACCACAAAGGAATGTGTCCAGCAGCATGAGGAATCAATTTCATGGAGAATTAATGTAAAAGAGAGTCCAACCTGGTACTAGCCAGATATACCTAATAAAAAATCCACCAATGAGTGCATACAACACAAGCATGCATCATCAAGCTGAGGTTAAATTATGTACATGCAATCTAAACCCAGTGTTTTGCACATATTAGGACTTACGTCATTGGCAAAGTGAGTAAGAGCAGATGCTTGTTTTCCCATGGCAGCGTGCAGACGGCCCAAGGTTCTATGTAGCTGATGAAGGACAGTATGACTGCAGTCTGCTGTTTTCATTACTATCCACTCAGCCTTAGACAGATACTCTTGTGCCTGAGAGAGAGAACCTATACCTACACACACACACACACACACACAAACACAAACAACATGCGTTATGAACAAAGGCTTGCTTGATTCCTCTCAAGTGAGTCTGGCTATTAGAGGGTCTCTCTGCCATCTTTGATGTTTCTGTTGGAACAGACAGGCTGGGTTTTAAAAATTCAGGGCTGGTTCCCTTATTTGTCAAACAGGTTGACTGCAGTGTGAATTGGAAAACATCTCATCTATCCATATAGACAAAAGCTTAATAGAGGTGTGTCTTGGTTCGCTCCCAAGTTCAACAGGGCACTGCCCAGGGTGTTGGCAATTCCTAGGGGTGTCTTACTGGCAAAATCATTACACTGAATGGAAATGTCCGCTCCCAAGAAATCTTCTGAATCCATCATAATACTAGGCATGAGCCACTTGCTACTTTCCTTTCTGTTTTCTATTTGAAGACAAGGTGTTATACAATGTTATACATTTTGGTTTTTAAAATAATGTTTTGACAAATATACTATTGTTCAGTAAAATGTACATTTTAAAAGTAATAATAATAATAATAATAAAAATTGTATAATAAAAAAATAAATAACAGATGAACAATTGTTCTTCCATATTTTCATTTTAAAAGAAATAAAATGGAATTCAAGAAGAATAAAAAAATAAATGCCTGTTAAATTCTTAATAAATGGTTGTTAAATTTAATAATACGATTGAGGATTCAGCTAACTGGCCATGATTTTTTATTACAAAAAAAAGTTTTAACAGTTGAAATGGAGTCCATAATGATAATAATAATAAACAAAATCAAGAAAAATTGGAAGAGAAACAGAAAGAAATGTGACTCGATGGCGCAGTGGGTAGCACAATCGTATCACGCACAAAGGTCGCTGGTTCGAGCCCTGGCTGGGTCAGTTGGCATTTCTGTGCGAAATTTGCATGTTCTCCTCGTGTTTGTGTGGATTTCCTTCGGGTGCTCTCGTTTTCCCCACAGTCCAAAGACATGCAGTATAGGTGAATTGAATAAGCTAAACTGGCCGTAGTGTATGGGTGTTTCCCAGTGTTGGGTTGTGGCTGTAAGGCCATCTGCTGCATAAAACATATGCTGGATAAGTTGACGGTTCATTCTTCTGTGGCAACCCCAGATTAATAAAGGAACTAATCCGAAAAAAAAAAAAGAATTTTCTTGTTTTGGTTAAATGTTTGTAACATGCTACGCTCACCAAGGCTGGATTTACTTGATTAAAAACATAATAAAAACTGAAATAACATAAAATATTATTGCAATATTAAATAACTAGTAATTTCTAGCAATGCATTTAAATATACAATCTATTTTTTATGTTTTTGTACCAAAAATCATTTCAACAATAATTAGGCGCTCTGGGAAAAAAAAAATCCATATAATGATCAATGTGGACAACAGTTGTGCAACTTACTATTTTTGTATCAACACATTGATTTATTGTTGAAAAAAATAAAGTGCTAAAAACATTTTTCTGGGACAGAAATCTTTTTTAACGTCAACATCTGCAAAATATTCTCATGCTGAAGAGTTTTCCACTCAGACAGAACACATCTGCATGACTAGTCTGCCATATCCTGAATTACATAACAAGCGTCTCTCCTCAATTCGTGTCCAAGCGCCGCCCCTAAACTCCGGCCCACCAATAGACCATCCCACAGGAAGCACACAGGGCTCCATGCCAACTTTGCATTTCAGTAATCTCTCCTCAGGTGGAAATAGAAGTTATTGCCTGTCAAACTTTAGAGAGCTTCAGAAAGTGAAGTCTGATAGTGTCTTTTTATCTAACACATCATATTATAGAAATTTCGCAAATGTGTTTCTGTGTATGCCTCACCTATATTAGCCTGTGCAAGCAGTAGATATGCTGGTACCAGTTCGACAGTACATGATCCGTAAACCCGCATGATCCAATGCTGGAATAGAAGAGCGGCAGGTAAAACATCCTGAAACCTCTTCATGGACACCCACTTCCGCGCCTCCAAATGAGCCATCTCTATAAGACACTTCTAAAATTAAAAACACAAAAAACACATACTAATAATCAGCCTTCTGTATCTGACCCATTTGATGTGCTGGAGTGAATGTGAACCTGTTTCTTTAGTGTTTCTTTGTGGTGATGGTTTTGGTCGGACAGTGTTCCGGATGGTACAGGTGTGTTGATAGAAACCAGCAGCGGACAAGCTTTTTCATGAATACTGGTCCAGTCGGCCTGCTGGTGGTCAAGATTACTACATATAGACACACACACACACATTACAAATGGGGACACTGCCAATATTTCATATGAAGGGCCAAAGGTGTCTACATAGTTGAAGTCAGGATTATTAGCCAACCTTTGATTTTTTTTTTTCTTTTTTAAATATTTCCCAAATAATTTTTAAAACAGAGCAAGGACATTTTCACAGTATGTCTGATAATGCTTTTTATTTGGGAGGAAGTCTTATTTGTTTTATTTCGGCAAGACAAAGCAGTTTTTAATTTTTCTAAAAACATTTTAAGGTCAAAAATATTAGCCTCTTTAGGCTATATATTTTTTGATAGTCTACAGAACAAACCATCATAATACAATAACTTGCCTAATTACCCTAACCTGCCTAGTTAACCTAATTAAGCTAGTTAAGCCTTTAAATGTCACTTCAAGCTGTAGTGTCTTGAAAAATATCTAGTCAAATATTATTCACTGTCATCATGACAAAGATAAAATAAATCAGTTATTAGAAATGAGTTATTAAAACTATTATGTATAGAAATTTGTTGAAAAAAAATCTTCTCTCCGTTAAACAGAAATGAGGGAAAAAAATAAACAGGGGGAATAATAATTCAGGGCAGCCAATTATTTTGACTTCAACTGTATATCAGACTTTATTAAAGTTGACATTGGTAATTTCAAAGAAAACTAGAATTAGAAAGCATTGCTTTATATTAACCAACGGAGTAGAAAAAAAAATCCAATTTATAAAAGGAGCTATACTAGTCAAGCTGCACCTGTTTTTGCCTTAAGTTGCTTGCCAATGTCTTCTGCATTGTCTTCTATCCATTGAGTGACAATTTGTATATTTTTAAAAATCAGATTCATTTACAGCATTCAATTGAAACATTTATTTTTGGTTTGTTTTTTGTAGCAATAACCTATAAAAAATATTGTAGGAATAAAACAAACAAAGAAACAAACAAAAAGACAAAATAAGTTGTGTTAAATTAAAAATTAAATCACTTTTAACCCTTTAACTACCCCACCAAGAAAAAAAAATGTTTGGATTGCATTTTTTTTTTACTTCTAATGTCACTAGTTAACACACTCAATGCATTTTATTGAACAAATCTTATCATTTCTAAAATAGCAAGCTGAATACATATACTATGAATCTGAAAATATGAAATGTAAGACCAATTTATTTAAAAAAATATTCAAAATAAAACATATTTGAATGCTTAACCACCTTTATTTTTTGAAGTATGGCATAAGATATCAGATTCTCATTTAACATGTTTTCTTTCTTTAAAAAAAATAATAATAACAATAAAACCAAAATCAAGTGTAGTAGTGCAACATGATTATGTTTGATTGTTTTGTTTTTTAAACCAACAATGCTGTGTGTGTAAACCATTATTTAAAATAGTCATTCTTTAAATTATTTTCATTCATTCAATCATTTTCTTTTCGGCTTAGTAACTTTATTAATATGGGGTCGCCACAGCAGAATGAACCGCCAACTTATATAAGTTTTACGCAGCGGATGTCCTTTCAGCTGCAACTCATCACTGAGAAACTTCCATACACACCCATTCACACACATACACTACAGACAATTTAGCTTACCCAATTCACCTATAGCACATGTCTTTGGACTTGTGAGGGAAACCAGAGCACCCAGAGGAAACCCACCCGAACACAGAGAAAACATGCAAACACTATGCAGAAATGCCAACTGACCCAGCCAGCCATGGCTCGAACCAACGACCTTCTAGTTACGAGGCGACCCACTGCACCACAGTGACGCGCTAAATTACTTTAACAGTAATTATTTAAAACATTCAAAACATGGTCTATCTACCGTTTAGAAGAGTGGGCAGTCAATTAAAGGCATTTGACCCAACCCTCCCCATCATTCTCACTCTCCTCTCATGTGGGATGTTGGGCCAAATCAAGGATTTTCATGGCCCAACTTTAGCCCGTGGGCCCTACATCTTTGATATAAGACGTACATTTTTGCCATGACAACCACTAAAATCATATTCAGTGTAACAGTAGTTTGTATAAAAACTATTGTTTTAAAGACTCTGATTGTTCACGCCAGTAATTTTTTTTAGTATTTTAAAAACAGTAACATTTAGTACGATTTCTTATTTTTATATCTATTAATTATCTACAGATAAAAATAAATAGAAAAACGTGTAACAACGAAAGTTTATTTCACCCATATTTTGACATTTTTTCAAAACATTAATTGAAACATTATAGTAGATACTTTACTTCATTAGTATGCTTTACTAATTGACATTTTTGTATATTCTATTCTTATTTCAAAGCAAGACGTTTCCTCTTTGACCTATATACTGCTAGTCAGAAATACCTTCACCCTTACCCACACCCTTAACAAACTAAGAGACTTTTATTATTTTCATATAACTTTAAATTCAGCTGACTTTAGGGTATACTCAACGTTTTTGAGTATAAATACATAAATAATGTAAAATTAAGACATACTTGAGAAGCTATATGGCTGAAGATAAGCCTTGTTATCCAAAATAACAATAAATATAATCAATTTAAGTCATGTATGTTTCTATAACACTTTTACAATGTAGATTGGGTCAAAGCAGCTTAGCATAGAAGTTCTAGTAAACTAAATCTGTGTTAGTACAGTTTTAAAAGTTGAAGTTCAGTGTAGAGTAGTTCAGTGTGGTTTAATTTTCACTGCTGAAAGTCCAAACACTGAAGACCAAATCCACAAGTCCCAACCAAGCAAGCCAGAGGCGACAGTGGTGAGGAACAAACTTCACCAAATAAATATATAATATAAATTCTGATATTTTCTTTCTTTAGAAAACAAGACTAAATTTAAAATGTTTTTTTTTCTTCTCGTGTAAAATTAAGACTGTTTGCAAATAATATGCATACAATAATATTATTATATACACACTACTCAAAAAATAGGGAACACTTGGAGTTACATTGTGTTGTTTAAATGTTCCCTTTATTTTTTAGCAGTTCATATATAATATAATTTTAATGTGGTAGAAACCCTATTTTAAGAGTATGTAGGAACAGACCCGTGTTCCAACTTTTTAAGGTGTAAAAAAAAAATCACAAACAAAACAACCTGTCTGTAAATGAAGCCAGAACTGTTCTTATTTCATTTAGCTATCTCTTTAAGAGCTGCCCGCCAGAGAACATTCTGCTTATGAGCAGAGGAAAAAAATACCCTGGCTGCCCGAGTTATAAAATGGACAGACATTTGCATGCTGCCACTGAGACGCTGTGAAGATAAACGTCGTGAGGATGGTGGAGCAAGTGAAAACTCCGATTCACACAAACACATATATTTTTCCAGTCATATTTCTTTCGTTTTTTTTCTGGTTGGGTTTAAGCACGCATGGCTGGCTATTCTCTTCCCTCTGCACATAATTTCTCCTCCAGCTGTTTGAACTCGTTCAACCTTTTCCATCTCTGCAGTAACACAGTCACAAGAATGTGTGCCACATTTGCGCATATAGTGCCACCTGCCGTCTGAATACGCTATTACACGACGCGTATTATCTGCTTTTTAAAGTTCTATTTTATTGTGTAGTATAGTTGAAGGAATACTTCAGCTAAAATGTCAAATCTAACGTTCCCTACCGGTTCTTACTATTTACGGGATTCTATTGAACATAAAATAAATATTTGACAAATAACTTAACCAGTAGCCTAATTTAACCGTCCATAGCATAAAAAATGGGCTAACGTTACAATGATGTCAAACGGTCACCGGCTTCTGGCTTTCTTCGAATCATTTGTGTAACGTTAAGTACTAAAGTAAGCAACGCAAACAGTTTTTATTATTGGATGAACTATCTCTTTTAAAAATGTGCTTATTCGGTTAATATTAAGACGACAACACATAATGAATAACTTTAGGTCTCCAGACTCACCAGTAAAATGTGACGAGGCATTTTGTGCACTGCAGTTTCGCTGGTTTTTGGCAAATTTCGCAAAGCTTCTTCTCTCCTTTAGGATTTGCTAGCGGGTAAATAGAGGCCGACATCGTGAACGTACAAATCTGTAACAAAACCACTTCTGCTAATTAAAAAGTGTCTAAAACCAAAACAAAATACGTAATTTGGCTGTCGCTTTCACAGTTTTTACAAATCTGGCTTCCGCAATTATTCTTGTGTTTGAGACAACTAGTGTTTTTAAATTGGGTTTCCATGGAGTAGACCTCGTGGCAACAGATCTCCTTGAGGTTCTTTTCTTTTAAACTTGATACTTTGGGTGTGAAACTCTTATTGTGCTTCGGAATGACTTTTCAGTATTGTATTTAAAAACACTTAGCTACATCCATATTTAGTGTATTTACCTTTTTTTATTATTTTGCTTAATACTTGAACCCTCGGTGTAAATTTAAAGTAGACCTATAGTGCTTTTTCTTCCTCAATTTTACATCTTGAACACTTTCAAAAAAATCCTTTTACTTTTTTATTTTTCAGAAAAGATTTTATGCCATGTGAACTTCTAACTCTATTGAAGACTTGTTCCTGGTGTGAGTCTTATAACTTACATAATATTCTGTGATTTCAGTTATGCAACCCTCCTCGACTCTTTGATCATAATGTTTCATCTTTGTAAGTGTTTTTTTTTTTCTTTTGAAAAACAAAACCTTGAGAGAAACCAATGAGATGATCTCATTGCTATATTAAAGTGTTATCCTTCAGGAAGTTGCCATTAAATATGGACAGGGACAGCAACAATGATCTGGTAAAAGAGCATCAGAATGGGGAAGAAAGGTGATTTAAGTGGCTTTGAATGTGGCATGGTTGTTGGTGCCAGACGGGCTGGTCTGGGTACTTGAGAAACTGCAGATGTACTGGGATTTGCACGCACAACCATCTCTAGAGTTTCACAGAAAATGGGCTGAAAATGAAAATATCCAGTGAGCGGCATTTCAGTGGGCACAAATGCACTTTTGATGTCAGAAGAGAATGGCCTGCTGATAGAAAGACAACAGTAACTCAAATAACTGACTGAGGTCTGCAGAAAAGCATCTCTGAATGCACAACACATATCACCTTAAGGCAGATGGGCTACAGCAACAGAAGACCAAACCAGGTGCCACTACTGTCAGCCAAGAACAAGAAAATGAGGCTACAATTTACACAGGCTCACCAAAATTGGACAATGGCAGATTGGAAAAATGTTGCCTAGTCTGATGAGTACTGATTTCTGCTGTGACGTTTGGATGGTAGGGTCAAAATTTAACTTTAACACAAAGGCATGGATCCATCTAGCCTTGTATCAATGGTTCAGGCTGGTGGTGGAGGTGTAATGGTGTGGGGGATATTTTTGTGGCACATTTTGGGCCCATTAGTACCAATTGAGCAACATTGAGTATTGTTGCTGATCATGTCCAAAGTTTTATGCCATCATGTCAGTACGGACCAAAATCCTTGAGAAATATTTCCAGTACCTTATTGAATATACCCCTCGAAGGATTAAGGCAGTTCTGAAGACAAAAGTGAGTCCAAACCACTAGTAAGGCGTAGTTTTTCTCCCATGTGGTCTCCCATCCAGGTATTAACCAGGCTCAGCTTTTCAATTATTGTAAAGTATTGGGGTGCTGTAACTCACCTGTTTCAAGGTTTAATGTGCCATGTTTTCAGAGATGCTCTTTTGCAAACCTCAGCTGTAATGAATTTGAGTTATGGTTGTCTGTCTAATAATTCAAACCCATTTAGCCATTCTCTCTGACATCAACAAGGCATTTCCTACATGCAAGGTGCTGCCAAATTAGCAGCAGATATATGTAAATATTAACATTAAATATTTGTGCTCATTGCCATTTACATTAACAAAGACGAATGTTATAAGTTTTAAAAAGCACAAACAACCAATCTAATTTACAATATCTACTGAAAACAATGCATTTTCTTTTTTTTTTTTTTGTAAAACGTAGACTCTAAAAACAAACAAAATAACTATTAAGCTGATTTACCCTGTAAAAATGAATGATAGTCATTTCAGCATTTATACAGTATCCTCAGAATAAATGCATTCATATTTTTATAAAATGTTTATTGATTTGCTCATCCACTCAAATAAACATCAAAACATACCAAAATTCACACGATATTGTTTGAAATACCTAAAAAATACACATTTCATTTGCTTTGAATGCCTTATAAGGGTCAAACTCTAACCTCCTAAATTAATCATGAAATTGTGAGCTTGCATGGAATCTCTGTGAAGACATCAGACATACACACTCTCTCTTACACTTACACACTTACACACACACACTTACACACACACACTTACACACACACACACACACACACACACACACACACACACACACACACACACACACACACACACACACACACACACACACACACACACACACACACACACACACTACAGTCTCTCCCTTAACCTCAGTCAATTGTTTTTCTTTTTTCTGACAGAAGACATTTTAAAAGCTCACTAGTTAGTGTTACTTGAGTGTTAATCGACCCACAAAAGAAAAAAGTGGTGGGAACAAGAGGATCGAACAACAACAAGAGAGTGAAAAGCTTTACCCCTTACATGGCATTTTCTCAGGGTGGTCCATTTTCTCAGTACAGCAGTATTTTCCTTCACACTAATAAGGAATCCACCTGCGCGCACACACTGAGTGCAGTTCAGATGGCTCTGATCCTGTAAACAGAAGTGCAGTCCGAGCAGCGATACTGATCTTATCGGAGATACTGAAATTGAGTCGTTAACACTGCGTTTCTGCTCTTTGTCTCGCAGCAGCAGTCATTCATCAGAGCTCGGAGATTACATTACAACACCAACTCCATGGTAGCACATTTCTGTATACAAGCGCACACCTTTCAGGTTTCTGACCAATCCATTTCTACTCATAAAGAATGCCAAATAAACTGTTACACTGTGAATGCTGCACATACAAACAGGAACATGAATTACACCTTAAAATGTACCTAATTAAAGTGCACTACACAAAAAAAGCCATCTGCTGTGACTTCACATTGATACTAGAACATAATTACTCACAAAAGTTTCTTAAAAATACGAGAATGAAACTGCAGTGTACCAGCCTATTTGTTAGGCCTGCTGTTGAGCGGCAATGTTGCAATGAACAACAACAGCCAGCAGGTGACGCCGTTTTCACCCTTTTCCGTTACACATTATCACTTCATAGTGACTGCAGCACTGTTTTGAGATCTGCTAAATCTCGAGTTTGTTGTTCTCTTTGCAGCCCTGAAAGTCGTGTTCCACATGCTCAGCAATAGTAGTGTGAAAAGCAGAAGGATTAAAAAGGCTTTGGGAACGTCAGAAGCACCTTGTCTTTTTTTAAAGGCTTAAAGGGCTAGTTCACCCCCATGATGGAAATTCTGTTATCTAGTTACTCCAAAACCACTCTTCTCAACACAATTGAAGATGTTTGTAATGAAATCCGAAGCGTTTCGGTGTCCTTGTTAAAAGCCTGTTCATTCTTGCCCTAAAAGGACTGTTCACCCAAAAATAAAAATTTACTCTGTTCACCCAGCCCTTGGTCAGCACGGTGGCGCAGTGGGTAGCACAATCGCCTCACAACAAGGTCTCTGGTTTAAGCCCCAGCTGGGTCAGTTGGCATTTCTGTGTGGAGTTTGCATGTTCTCCCTGTTTTTGCGTAGGTTTCTTCCGGGTGCCCTCGTTTCCCCCACAAGTCCAAAGACATGCACCATAAGTGAATTGGGTAGGCTAAATTGTCTGTAGTGTATGAGTGTGAATGAATGTTTCCCAGTGATGGGTTGGAGCTGGAGGGGTATCAGCTGCGTAAAACATATGCTGGATAAGTTGGCGGTCCATTCCACTGTGGCGACCCGAGATTGATAAAGGGACTACGCAGAAAAGAAAATAACGTCCGTTAAATTACAGAAGTTTACAGTTGAATAATGGATGTTAAATTACAGAAATTTCCTTACATTTAAATTTCTGTAATTTAACGTCTTATTTTACAAAAAAATTCTGATTTTTCCTTTTTTTAATTTAAAATTACAGATTTTTTTTAACAGTGTACTTGATGGCGAGTAAACAGAGTAAATTTTCATGTTCATAAGTTCTCATGTTTAACAGATGAAAGTAAGTCATAAAGGTTTTGAACAAGTGAAGGGAGAGTAAATGACAATTTAAATTTTGTGTTAACTATCCCTCCAAACATTTGATCAATTCATTCATATGAATTAAGTGGTTTTATAAGGGATACAGTTATAAATGTACAGCATTTACAAAAACATTGAGCTAACCATGTTTCCAGCATTCAGATTTTAATCACAGATGCTCGAGCATGCTTTCCTGATGTGTGAGTAACCAATAGGGCTCATTCCTGCATGTCACATGGCACGTTTGAGCTTTCATATGAGCCAATGATGTATGATTGAGCATCTGCTTGCGGATCAATGTTATATGGTAATCAAATGCCACAATTCAATCTTTTCATCACATAATGCTTTGAATAAATTGCTTAATTTGCATAGAATCATTCTTGACCACATTGCAAACATTTTCAAGTGTGAACAGGCTTTCAACAAGGGACAGAAATCTATGTTTTCTAAAGATGAACCGTTTGGAACAAGATAATGAGTAAATGATGACTGTTTTTCATTTTGGTGTGAACTATCCATGTATATATAAAACACTAGCAGAATTTGAAAACCAAGTCTATTTTTAGCCAACAGAAATTCAGTACTATTTTTGTTTGCTGGCTCAGTTAGAATTGACTTCACTCTCCCAGACAATATGACACTAAAGTGATTTAAAAAAATCAACACACCTCCTCTCTTAGCGTGTTATGGAGTTAGTATTGTTACACGTATAGCCGTTAATTACAAATACCTGGATATAGACAAAAAGGCACCCGATCAAAGGCATAAAATCTGTAATTAAAGCAGTTTTTAGATGCCTAAAAACAACTTGGTCAGAAATATTTTTTAAAGTCTCCCCTATCTGAACTCTTCACTAAATGATACAAACTAAAACACCACTTTATGAGAAGTGAGAATAGCCTGTCAGACTAAACAACAGCAACAAAAACAACAAAGAGGATGACTTTTGCAAAATTCTGTCTACCGCATTTCCTAGAAACTGTAACCACTGAAATCTCCATAGTTAAATAGGCACAGTGAGATTGCAAGACAGTCAAAAACATCATATAGGAACGAACCTTCCATTTTTGTACCACGCAAAGAAAAACAAAGTAACTGCATATGTCACCCTAAAGATCCTCACTCATGGTGTGACAAAGCGGTTTCACTGTTTCAGTCTTGCTGTAATTTCTGCATTTTGCCTTTTTATGGCAGTGTAGCAAAGCATGGCACCATTGTTTTTCTCCCAGCCAATCAGAACTTGGAAGACAACAACTACCAAACACTAAAACAAAATCTGCATTCAACCTTAAAAACAACATACAATAATGACCTTTAGTCTAACACTATTCCTACAATGGAAACCGACTGAAGAATGAAAGACCTTTCTTTTTCCCCATGTCTTGATTTGACAAATTCTGTGCACATGAGTCACCTTAACTGTCACGAATTTGACAAAAATCGGCTTCGTATTTAAATGTGCATTTTGTAGCTGCATTTAAAGGTGGATAAACAGTATAATTTTGGAGTCAAAACACTAGGAATGCTCATATAATGCTTGTAATAGGTCAGAAAATAGGGGAACTGTGAAAAGGTACAAGAGCCTCCCTTATGAACATTGGGAGAATGAAATTCATATTTGAGACGCGCAGTCCATTGTGCTGTTCTATATTAGAAGGGAACTGATTTCACCATTTGATGATTTGGACAGTCAGATCTGGAAGACATGGATTGCTGGTGTGTGCACGCATTATTAGTGTCTAATGTCGGCTCACACATCCTATACGACTCCATCTGCCTCCTTTTCCTTCTCGTTTAGGGCATTGTCTAAATTGGTCTCCTCGTCTTTGTCTTCCAGTTTGGCTCTTTTCTCTTCCTCTTTCTTCTCCTTGTCTACCAGTCGGTAGTTAATACCCATTCCCACAAACAGGAAGATGCTGGCAATCACCAGAACGATTCCACAGCCCTGATATGTGTACTTATAGTCATCATAGATATCGTTGAGTCGTCCTGCAAGAGAAGAAATGATAAAACAGGTTGGTCATGCTCATTATCTGGGACATTACCTAGACTTGAAGAATACAAGTCTTAGCCTATTGGTGGAGTCAATGCTAATAGCACCATTTAAGAAGTATAACAAGACAATCAAAAGCACAGGTGTCAAATCCAGTTCCTGGAGGGATGCAACTCTGCACTGTATAGTTCCAACCTTAGTTAAACACATCTGGTCAAACTAATCGAGTCCTCAAGTTAAGTTTGAAACCTACAGGTAAGTGTGTTGAAACAGGGTTGGAATTAAACTGTGCAGAGCTGTGAATCTCCAAGTCACGCTCTTATTTTTTTTTTTTTTAGTATATTATATTAAAATATTAACATTTTAGGCAACAAGAAAATTCAAACACTTCAAACAATGGTAATAACAGTAGTAATAGTAGTATTTAATAACAACAGCAACAACAACAACAATAATAATACATTTGTTTATTTACTTAAAGATCTTGCTCAAAAATCCTTTAAATATTGTAACTTTCATATTATATTTTAATAGATGAGAATATGTGGAATTGAACAATTTCATTTGGTTTGAAATTTTAATAATATGATATTTGTAATATACATAAAACCTAACATTTAACATATTATATCATTTCAATAAAAAAATTAATGTATTAATTTAAATAAGACATATTAATCCATATTATTACAAAAATTAAGTTCATGAGAACATTCAAGCATTTAATACATTAACTAAAACATGTATTAACATTTAATAATATCAACCAGACATTCCTTTATTTAATAATTCAGTATACTGTTATAATGAACAATTAATTTTGTGGTCACTTCAAAATATATAAGACTTTAATGTAAAAATAAATGGTGATAATACCGTACATCATGATAAAAGCTTTACCAATTTATCGCACCAAAAAAAAATTGATACCAGTAAAAGCTAATATCAATGTGAAATCTTTAAATGCCATACTCCATTTTAAATAAAATTAGACATTTTTCCTAATGTTTATCCAAAAACTGCATGATGTTGTCTGTGGAACACAACACTGCAACTGGTAACCAAATATGATATTGGAATGTTCTTTAAACATACAAGGCTAAGCGTTGACAGTTTTCTGTGAACAATCCTATGAAGTTGAATATGTTCTTTCTCAGACTTACCCAGCAGTGGCGGCCCGAGCAGCACAGGCGCACATTCCACAATGGTGACCAACCCAACAGCACTGGAGAACCTCTGAGCTCCTACAAGATCCATGAGCGTCTCGAAAAGCACAGAACTGAGCCAGCCGAACGCCACTCCGAAAAACACTGCATAAATGGCAAAGCCCAAGTAATCGGTGGAGAGTGGCGCCAACAAGTGGCAGACGCCATTATACAGCACAGACGCAGCGAAAAAGTATTGGATACGCGGACGAACCCACCGTGTGTTTGCCACCAGACCCATAGACGGCCGAGCGATCATGTCTGTGAAAGCCAAGATGGACAACAAGAATGCAGCCTTGTCTTTGGAGATATGTTTGCTTTTTGCGTAATTACTGAGGAACACAAGAGGCGCGAAGAGGCCAAAAAACATGATGACGTTTCCTAGCAAGTACAGCAAGAAGCCTCGGTGGGTGAAGAGGGTCAGATCCAGGAAGCCGTTTATGGTCTGCATCACGGTTTTTTTCTCTTGTGGTTTGATTTCAGCATCCTCTTTGGGTATGGCTGGTTGTGGTTTTGGTCCAATGGGCCGCATTAATGATCCAGCGACGCAGCAGTTGAGCAGAGCTCCGCCTAGGATGAGGAAACTGCCTCTCCACCCGAACTGATCAAACAGCCAGCTGTTCAACGGGGCCAGAGTCGACAAGAACACTGGGCTTCCTGCCATGGCGATGCCGTTAGCGATTGGCCGACGCTTGTAGAAGTATTTGCCAATCATGGTTAATGCCGGATTCAGATTGAAAGCCAAACCAAGTCCTACACGAAAAAAGAGGAAAGAGAAGTGAGAAATATTACATTTATGATTGAGGGTATGTTTACATATACTAAAAGCAGACGTTTTTTGCTTTTTTGGATATAAATGACAACATTGGAAGAGTTGTCACCATTTACTAGGGCTGAGATCCAAAACTTACATAACTGGTATGTATAAAACTTATATAACATGTAATGACATGTAAATTTCAGTGTAAATTAAATGCCTGAACGGTCAACTGAAATAAAGAGTTGCAGGAAGCGGAGAATTGGAAACATGCTTCTTTAGATGAAAAAGCTTCAGGGGTTATTGAAGAGTCCTATATCCAATATCTAACAGCACCAATACATTAAAAAGTTTGCAAAAAACAAACAAACAAAAACAAAACAGTCCAAGGCACTAAAAAAGTTAAAAAGTCTTCATGAAGGCACGTGTACATAAGGTAAAGGTGCACATTGGTGGTGTTTTTTTTTAAATAATAGGCATGTAATAGCCATGTTGGACTCTTAATTTTGTTTTGCACTCTAATATGTAACCATTGTTAAAAGATAAAGATTACAATTGTGAAACGTTCTTACTGTATGTGTTCAGTTCAAACGTGTGTGCATATGGTGGTTGAGCAGCTTACATTGTGCTTTGAATCATTTTATTTCTCAACTTAGTTTGTCCACCAGATGTCAGTGCTGAACCAAGCCACTATTTCATACCAGGACAGAAATTGAGACAAGCCATTTCAGCAGCACTACTGAAGTACAACAATCACTAGACACACAAGTTGACAAGTACATTTGTGGAGGGAATGATTGATATCTGATATTGTACTATAATATAGTTCAATGGCATATTTATAAATCATATCAATTGTAAAAAAGTGCAGACAGGTGATTTAAAAGAGTTATAACTCTGACATTGCACCTTCTGTCAAAATACAATATTAATATTGAAATATACTATATTTTCCATTGACTTAAATGGGTTCAAAACGGAGTAAATATGGAAAGGCACCATATTCTGCCAAAAAAAAAAAGTAAATAATCATGTTTCTGCAAAATAATTGGTGAAATTTGAAGCGTGTTTCTAACATAACAAAGAATACTGACTAGTTTGTTGTTTTTAGAATTGTAACTAACATTATTGCACCTGGGTTAGGTGGCTAAAGTGCCTATAGAGCATTTTTTGTAGTTTACACAATGACACAATTACACTGAAACATGTTTTCAAAAACTTGTATTTTAAGGCTCCCAAAATACCATTGCAAATAATTTATCGCCAAAGCCATTAAATGTATAATTTAAACACAATGGTATTTGTAGCTTTCATTATTTAATTGGAATCTCTCAGTCTATGATGAGTGTACTTACCGCCTATGACTCCCACACAGAAGTACAGCCCCTCCACTGTGTCACAGAAGGATGCAGCAACTAATCCCGTGCCTGACAGACATCCTCCAGCGATCATGATTGGCCGACTACCAAACTTATTCACAAGAATACTGCTGATTGGTCCTGTTGACAGAAAACAGATTTTTTTCAATAAATTAATTTGCAAAAGGATTGGGCCGATAGACGATGTCATCATCCATCGCCGATGGCCAATACACAACACGATGCTGAGCCGGCATCGCCTATCCTCCATCCGGCCCCGTCGCAAAGCCGCTCGAAAAAAAATACACATTTAGGCCCTGTTTACACTAATACACACTAAAGCCTGGTTTATACTTCAGCTTCAAGTGACTGGCGTAACCCACGGCGCAGGCAACGCGCGTAGCTGTGCATTTATACTTCTGCGTGCTGTCTCTGTTGGTCTGCATTAACACTTCTGAAACGCTAGTTGGCAGTGTAAATGTTCCTCTGTGTCAAGTTTCTTCGCTGCTGTTTTGCTTTTCCTGAAGACTTCCTGAATGTACAAGTGGCTCAAACTCGCTCATTTTGTGGCAGGAACTGGCGGACGTGCAACAACTTTAACTATGAGGTAAACACAAAAAAAAACTTTCCATCCGGAGCTCCTTCACAGGACTCCACACTTGTAAACAATCGCTCCATCGGGGTCGCGCCATTCGCGCAGCTCTCGGTCCCGCCCAGACTCATCAGCACTACCAAGTCGACCAATCACAGAGCTTGCGTTACGGGTCGTTGCGACGTGTAGTTAAATTTTTTGAAAGGTGCACGTCAGCGACGTCGACGGCCACGGCGTAGGGCTATGCGTCAACGCCGTAGCATAAGCGTGCATTTGACGCAGAAGTATAAATCAGCCTTAATACGCCATGCAATATTCTGCAAATATTTATATATTTATACCACAGAAACTGGTATTGTTTGCTTTGGCTTTTTCATGATTAATTATTGTGAAATCCTGATTGCAACAGAAAAATGCTGGGAAATATCTCTAGACTGATGGCATTTCATGCTGTTTAGCCTCAATCTTAAAGGGCCATGAAACCCCCTCGTTTCAGCAGGGTGTTTTCACACCTCTTCTTTGGAAAAAGTCAGAAAAGTGGGCGTGTCCAGCTCTGTTTAGGGGGGAGTGTCGGAGAAACTAAAGTGGGAGGGTGTGGGAGTGTCTATTTGGGCACGCGCGAGTTTCAGTCAAAATACACAGGAGAAAGGGATGGTGTTTAACCTACATGGACATCTGTAGTCGAATTATTTGCCAAATTATTAAATGTCGGACTTTAACTGCAGTTCGGCTCTTTCATTCAGGGAATTCATTCATGCCCCTCGCGACAAATGAGATATTTGATTCGAGGATCTGCTCTAAGCGTGTATTTTTCATGCAATGTTTGATACCGCACGGCGAATGACGGAAAAAAAACTCCGCATTTCCCGGAAACTTAGATGCACACGGCAGGTAGCGTCCGAAAGCCGCGTGTGTTATTCCGGTCACAAAATGCGGTGCTAACATGTTTGCACTCAATGCAATAGTTAACTTATTTGATACGAACAAACTGAATATACAAAGAGCACTGGTCGCTCACTTACCAAATCTGTAGAGACAGGACAATCACCAGCAACTAGAGCCGCGTCTTTATGAAGAGAAGACTACATCCGGAATCCGGATTTCAGCGTTTGCAGATGAGAACAGCTCTCAGGTAAACAATAATCCCCCTTAGACACGTAAATTATTGTTGTCGAGCGTCGCGTACACTGTAATCCACACGTGATCCAGATAAGCTCTCACAGAGAGAAAATGAAAACGAAACTTAATGGCAGCAAACTGTAAAAGCAACACTTCACGCTTGTTTTGCCAACACAACGTGGCGTCTCTGTGGTGTAAAGACGGTGACACTAATGAATATTAATGAAGTTGCACAATAGAGCGCGCTGATTGGTTTGAACCAAGCCTAACTCATGCATTAATGCATCACACTGTAAGACGTAATAAGGCACACTCTGGCACAGACGCCCAGTCTGCACGCTGGAATACAACGCTATTATGTCATGACCGTGACGCAGCTTCAAAAATTCGTTTCAAACAGGAAGTACGAATTTGCTTGAAATAACGCAAAAACAACCAATTTACACTTTTTTGTGAAATATAGGTGTCCTAATAGTGTTTTTAGCAGTGTGGGACACATATACCACTGTCAACAGCTCAAAAAATGTGTTTTGGTGTTTCGTGACCCTTTAAAATGAGAGCAAAATTTACCTGTAGACATTACATGAAAGAATCAATCAAAAACTAGCTTTAAAGTAACCTGTGAATAAGCAACGGTTTCTGTTGTTGCTGCAGATTTGAATGAGCGGCTAAAGAAAGTAGTTATTCGTACAAGAGTTTGAAACTCTGTGTATCATTTTCTTTTTTTAAACACGCGATTATGCCGTCGAACAGTTGTATAAACACAACATCACACTCAGAGCAGTGTGATATGGCTGTATTTTGGCACTGGTGTTGGCCACTAAGGCACTCTGGCTGTGGCTTGGAGCCAACGCATGCCTTCCACCAGTGCAGATATGAAGCCATATCGCATTGCCAGTAGTGTGATATTGCGCTCGCTCGCGCTCTCTCTCTCTCTCTCTCTCTCTCTCACACACACACACACACACACACACACACACACACGCACGCACGCACGCACGCACGCATCTATCTATCTATCTATCTATCTATCTATCTATCTATCTATCTATCTATCTATCTATCTATCTATCTATCTATCACAAACAATAATCAACAGACCAGGTTGGATAATCTTGCAATTGCGGTTTTACTTTATATAATTTATTTGATATGAACTTTAGATTAATCTAAAATTGTCTAGTCAAAAAGTGCTTTTTTATTATAATAATTAAAATTTTTTAGCTAACAAAACACAACAAACTCGTACTATATTTAATTACACTTTCTATGGCTAACTTAAAGCAGTCAAGCTAAAATGTGTAACTTTTTGAAACGCTGCAATAAGGCAGTTCCTCCACAAGATGGCATCACAGCAGCAGTCATTGCCTACACTGACACAGCAGACAGTAGGAGGACACATGAAACCACTCAAAGGAAGGAAACTGTGATGGGATCTGCACACACTTCACTAACAGGACATGTGACCAGCTGAGGAAAAACTTCATCAGCAGAACCAAGCTGACCTACGGAACCTGCTATTTCTGTGAGTGTGCTTGTCTGTGTGTGTGTGTGGGTGTGTGTGTGTGGGGGGGCAAACTGCTGTTCACTCCAGTAAAATTAGCTCAAACATTATAAATGCAGACAAAAATAGCAACCTAACACTTCTTCTCCCTAGCAGTTCCCTCACAAATATATGACTGCAATCTATATTAAAGTGATACTTAACCCGGAAATGTATATTTGGTCATCTATAAGTTGATTTTTTCCTGTTAAAAATATTTTAATTAAATATTTAAGAATGCTGTCAGTAAATGTAGTCTCTGGCTTCCATAGTAGGACATAAATTACTATGGAAGTCTTGGCCCGTTTCCACTGAGTGGTACTGTACGGCATGCTTTTATGGCCGTTTCCACTGTCAAAAGGCGTACTGAACTGAACCGTACCACTTTTTCAGCACCCTTTCGAAAGGGTACCAAACTTGAAAAAGGGTACCAAAAGGCGGAGCTAGACGCGCAGCTAAACGCTATTGGTTTACAGAGATATGTCATTCGCTTACGCAACAAGCCAGAATGAAAAGAAAAGAATCTCCATGTTTGAAATACACAGCCGAGAGATTACAGCGAATTTATATATACATATAATAACAAGCCATGGTCAACCTGGGCTCAAACAAACCTTGTCGTCATCTTGATGAACAGCCACAAAGCCGAATCTACCTTGTCCCTCATAGTTTTTTACGAGCCAGTCTGAAGCCAGAGCGGTTTCGCTTTCTTCTTTGTGCTCACCACGCATCTGAAATAACAAACGTCTTGAGCTAATGATAATAACATGTGCTTGATTATTGACGTGCTTTTGAAACCCGATCTTGTTAGACACTGACAAACGCGAGAGAGAAGCGCAAAAAAAAAGGAGAAGCCGGAAAAAGGAGGAAATTATTTCTTTAGCAAACATGAACAAACTGCCTTGTTTTAATTTTTATCATCACCTTTTAGACTAATATGAACTGGGAATGACAGAATGACTCTAACAGAGGCTGCACGAGCTGCTGAAGATTACAGACACAGATGAGAGGTTTTCACTGACTGTTGGATATATTTTGTGTTGTTTTGAACCTAATTAAGGACGAAATGTCTGCAGTGTGTAGTTTTTCTGTAGTTGGTAACATATCGGAGACTGTAAGGTGCTGTATGTGTTCATATATGTTTGTTTATTTATTTATTTATTTATTTATTTAATATAATTACAGACGTTACAGTAGGCTACTTCGCGCTGTCATTGATCTGCAGTTATAATCAAATCCTGTTTTTAGAAAAGTTAGTAATAAACATTTATACAGAACTATTTATTTGTGCAAAGCGTTTGTTTTGTGACAAGTGCTTTTCATATGATATGGGAGCGACCTGTAGAGCTTCATTGTAGACATTTCCTCGAGTGAGAATGATGCGACTGAAAATTTTGCCTTGTTTCCACTGAATGGTAAAGTACGGTACGGTTCGGGTCGGTATGGGTCACCTTTATCAGGCTTGCGTTTCCACCACAAAGGGTACCCTTTTGGTGGGCGTGGTGTATGACAAAGTTTAAGTTGACTTCATGCTCGCTCGAATAAATGTCTACAGTAAAGCTGTATGGGTCGTTCACATGTCATAATGAGCAGCACTTCTCACAAATCAGATGCTTTATACACATAAATAATTGTTTATAAATTTAGATATTTTATATAACTTTTCTATAACCATGATTTGATTATAACTGCAGATCAAAGATCGAAATAGGTTATTGTAACGTCTGTAATTATATAAAATAAATACATAAATGCAACATTTATGAACACATACAGCCCCTTACAGTCTCAGATATATTATTGAATTACAGAAAAGCTACACACATCATACATTTAGTACTTATTGGAGTTCAAAAACACACGCAATATAGCCCACAGTCAGCGCAAACCTCTCATCTGTGCCTGTAATCTTCACCAGCAAATGTAAGCTTTTTTAGAGAGTAATTTTGTCATTCCCAGTTCATAATAATCCAAAAGACAAAGATAAACATGACAGTTTGTTCATGATTCAGGTCCCTAAAACAATTTTGCTCCCGTGTTTTGACGACTTCTCGTTTTCCGCGTTTTACTCCTGCTTCACTCTTGCGCTTGTTCTTTTTTTCTGAATGGATCAGATGACGGAGACACTTCAATAATCACGCACACGTTATCATCAGCTCAAGAAGTTCGTTATATCAAATATAGAAGCGATCGCGAGCTCCCGGAAGAAAGCGAATACCGCTCGCACTTTTAGACGGGCTTGTAAAATAACAGGACACGGCAGATTTTTCTTCTTGGCTTTGTGTCTGTTCATCGAGACGACTGCAAGGTTTGTTTGAGCCCGGGTCATCCATGGCTCGTTATTACATGCATATAGTATTTCCATGTAATGTCTCGGCTTTGTATTCAAAAAACATGGTGGTTCCTTTGTTTACGTTCTGTGTAGCTCCACGAGCTTGTGATGCATCTCTGTAACCAATCAGCGTTCAGCTACACGTGTAGCTCCACCTTTAGGTAACCTTTCTCCCGTTTGGTAACCCTTTCGAAAGGGTGCCGAAAAAGTGGTATGGTACTGTTTGGTAAGCTTTTTGACAGTGGAAACGGCCATAAAATCGTACCAGACCAAACTGTACCATACCGTACTACTCAGTGGAAATGGGCCATTTGTCATACACCACGCCCACCAAAAGAGTACCCTTGGTAGTGGAAACGCAAGTCTGATAAAGGTGACCCGTACCGACCCAAACCGTACCATACCAGTCAGTGGAAACGAGCCATAAAGGTACAAGTTTCTTGTAGATGACATTCTTCAAATACTCTTCTTTTGTAATCAACAGAAAAAAGGGGATGACATGATAAGACAATGACAACTAAAACTATACATTTCCATTAAAGGTTGTCTGAAAAACTGTCCCTTTAATCATTTTCAAATGCAAAATGTAATTTATTTATGAGTTGTACTGCGCTTCACATTAATAAATTAAGTTGCACAGAAAAAAAGAGAGGACGAAATAGTCAAGTTTTTTTAGTGAACAAATAAAGCTTTTCATCAGTGCTGTCTAGTAAAAGGCTCCATTTAGAGCAGGTCACCCTGAAAGCAATGAGAGTTGAATAACTTCACTTAAAAGGCAAAACACTTCAGCCATTTACAAGAGTTTGTTTGGTCAACATGCTAACTAAGACGTTTACACGATAAACACAGAAAAGATGAAGTGATATTTGGCATAATTCCTACAATGACACAACTTACATCAGTCATATTCATCACAGTTGTAACTATCACAAACAGATAAAAACGTCATAGCAAACAGTATTGTGTGCACACAAGCTAAAGCTAACAGGTCAAGTTAAAGTAGGTATAAAGAAGCACACAGAAACGTAAAGACAAAAGCACTTTACAGTATTGCTATAAATTATCTCAGTATGGTTAGATGTTTAGTTCAGTAGTCAATATCTCAAAATGTTATATGTGCTAGTTTCCTATAAATGCTAATCTATCATCGTCATAATCAAAAGGAGGCAGAGAGACTTTGCCATTCATTTCATTTAGCCAATCAAAGTTCAAAGCAATCTGTTCGTCCCCCAGTCACATTTTTTCAAATTAATTTATTCTGACAGGCTTTGTGCAGCTGAGAACGGGCCATCCTTTCCAGCCCCCTTGTGTCGTAACATAAACTGGTTGAGGAGGACATGAGAGTCAGCAGAGGACAGGGTTTAGATACTTGTCATGTACTTTAGAAGAGATGAAAAAAAAAAAAAATAAATAAATAAATAAATAAATCAATCTCTGCCAAAAAAAAAAAAAACAAACAAAAAAACTATCAGAAAACAATTATAATGACTTCCATAATTCAAGTCACCAAAGCCCAAAAATATGTCAGTAAAAAAATTAGGGTCAAAGAGGTAAAAAATAAATAAATAAAAAGGTTTGGGAATCCCCATTATAGAATATTCTTATTTTGCTGCATACTAAAGTTCAAGTTTGGTGAACCCTCACCTAAATGGTATTGTATAAGGTGGTTGACCAATAAATACTCGGTGTGATTTATTGCTCAAAAATCAAAGATGTAAATTAAGTTTTGTAAAAAATATATTTAATTTAAATATTAAAACTTTAACAGTTATTAAAAACTTGCAACTTTAATTTATCTGCATAGATGGCATTATGAAAGTCGTATTTTGTGGAAAAAAATAAATAAAATACACACATTTTTATTTTTCTTAACGGTAAAAAGTGTACAATTATATAAAAAAGTTTGTGGTTGGTGAGACATAATAATTGTGAAAATAATTTCCAAAAAACGGTATTTTAATACATTTAAAAAATTTTATGACATTTAAAAACTGAGTTGTCTCTGTTATATGATTCTGAATCTGAATTACAGAGTTGAAACTAAATAAATAATTGATGCATATTGCCATGTGTTGATAAGTATTCCTTTTAATTACATCCAATTACAAATGAAATTTAAAATAAAAAATGATTACAAAATAAATAAAAACAAAAAAAAATTAAGTAAATAATATAATAAACAAAATATCAAAACAATCAATTTTATCTATAGTTTTTTATACTATTTATTTTTTATTTTGTTTATTTTAAATAATTTAGGTTTCCTCTCTTAAATGTCACATATAGAGACAGAAAGTCTTTCCCTCTGTCTCTCTCTTGCTCTCAGGTTATGTGACTGGAAGAGCCTCTTTGTTGAGTTCAGTCTACGTGCAAAGCCACATGAGCATAATGTAGTCTTTGTGGTGGAAACTAATGACACGTTCACCAGGAAGTGACATCATTTGCATACACAGTCCTCAAGAAGCACACTGCCTCTGACGTACAAATATTAGCCATAATACATAGTTTGTATCCTCCTATGTAAGTGTCAAGTGACTCCACCAATCTCAAACCATTCAGCGTCTTTATACCACCAGTCAAACCTTGCTAGTCCCATTCCACCCACACACTTCCAAAGCGTTTGACTTAATATTAGATGAAAGTAAATAAGTGTGGTTTAACGGTCTGATGACGAATCAGCATAGCAATGTGGGTGATTGCCTTTAAGGACAGGCAGATTTAAACTGGTTTTCCAACTTGATCCACCTAAGCAACTTAATTACATGGAAACTTGTAAAAAAAAGACGTGCAAACACACACAGATGTGTCTTTCAGTGCACATCAGCAGCTAAAAGCAGGTCAGAGTTTAAACACACAGCTGTTTCAGTTCTGACCTTATTTTACTTTAGCAGCGCAAATAAAACAACTAGAAATAATGGGTTAAGCAAATTTTTCCTGTGATGTGACTAGCAGCGAACCACACAACTGAATCACAAGCCAGTCAATTTTCTATCCATTTTGAAACCATGGATTCTTAGTTTAAAAGAGGGAAACAAAGCCTTGGGCACTTGCAATCCATGTACAGCAGTATTTTAAATCACTAAAACCCAAGCATGGTTAAAATGATAGCTGGAACCAAACACTAGCTTTTTGTGAAGTTTATTTATTTACTAATTTCGAGAGGATCACATGCCTATGATTGCTCGCGACTGGCCCCGCATTATCCAATTTATGATTCATCAGACGACTAATAAGCCACTATAAAGGCTCTAGGTTTCATACCACAGTCATCTTCAATTTGAAGAATCCCCCGTTCCACCCCTACTACTTCTTTCCTAGATGGGTGGAATGATAGCCCAGTGGTTAGCACAGCAAGTTCTTTAGTTCTGTTCATTACCAAGCCAGCTAATGTTTCTGTTCGGAGTTTGCACATTCTCCCCGTGCTCGTGTGGGTTTTTCCCGGGCCCCCCGGTTTCTCCCACCATCCAAAAACATGCAACTTAAGTTAATTGACCAATCCAAGTAAGTATTTCTCAAGAGCAATCACTATCTGTTTAATAGCTACTACAGCGGGGGAGTTCTCGAGATTTACCTCAGCACAAACTCCCCTCTCGCCTCAGCAAAACACGAAAAAAAGTGATGGCAGTAAACTGAACTCACCTCCAGCATACATGACAGCCAGCATGATTGAGGAGATCCATGACACCTGGCTGCTGGTGGCATTAAATATGACCTCAATCTCCTTGAAGAACACCGTGATGGATTTTGGGAAGGCATAAGAGAAGCCGATGCTGATAAAGGCTCCGACCACCACTGCCCAGCCCCAGCCGCCCTCTGGAGGAGTGTAGCCCACTGGACCTCCTGTTGCTGGAGGCATCTTCACACTCACAGATGAGGGTTGATGATGGAAATGAAGTACTGAAGTAAGATCAGCTGAGCTTCAAGCACACTGTATCAATCTGTAAGAGAAAGAATGAATAAACAAGCATGTTTTAGAGAAGAGCGCACACAAACAGAGTGAAAGACAGTAGTTCTCAACTCTGTGAACTGTGTCAGACCCAAGTGGAGTTCACACTGGACGAGGTCCAATTGAGGAAAAGCTATCCACGCGGACAGAGCAAGAGAACAGCATGTGAATGAACAAAGCGTGAACACAAACACTGTGTAAACAGCTTGTAGATTGAGCGTAACTGCTTTAGTCAGTTATTTTTTAACTGAGTGGATGTCAAAACACAAACATACAAGCTCCGGACACATCAAATGAACTGAAATGCCTTTACACACACTCACGTTCACACAGAGCTATCTTAGTGAGGACATTTATCAACTAGATTTCCATCTAAAATTATTATAATGAACACTGAATACTTATTATAAAGATACCGAATTAAAAAAGCAGGAAATTATTAGATTATTCTTTTTTTTTTTAATTGGGTAAGATGGATGATAAACTATGATGGAAAAATAACTCCACAAATGTCTTCTCTATATCCTTACCCTAAAATGAACCATCACAAATGAAAAAAAAATCTTAATATCTGCTGATAGTAATCAAAAAACTAATTGAAATGTAGTAAATAATACAAGTTATGTATTTTAGATTTAGCATTAAAGGTCCTGTGAAGCACTTTGAAATGTGCATTTTTTATTCGATATTTGACAGTCTCAACTGAATGAAGAGAGGCTGGGACAGAGAAGCTCCTCCCTTTAAAAAAACAGCAAAAAGCATTTTGTTTTTATCACAGATCTGCTAGTGCGAGTGGTTGAGATCAAGAACATCAAATAAAAAGCGTCTTTAAGAGGGTAAAATGGCATGTCAGATACTAGACGGCATTTGATTGGTCAAGATTGTATGAGAATGAGAACATATGAGGTGACATGAAAACAAAACCGTTGACCACTTTAAACACAAGTGACAAACTGTAATCTTGGAATTTTTATATCAGTTTATATTTTTTAAATGAAAACTGTTAATTGTCACCTGTTTTGGAGCACACTAGCTAATAGATATCCTTAAAACTAACAGAATGAAACTAAAATCTAAACATTTAACAGGACGTTTGAGGGTGCAAGTTAGGATGTAACGATTCATGACTCGATACGATTTAACTAAAGACTCAACTAGACTCAACTAAAACTGTGATTTTGCTAGGATTTGACATATTTTTAAAAGTCTTTGCACATTTACAGTGTCCCCTGCTAAAAAAACACTTTCACTGAGGACTGAGATGGCTGCTGTGGAGAGGAAAGCCTTTTCTAAACCAGAGAGCAGGGTGTACAGAGGTGGTCAATGGGCCCTCTGCTCCAGGGAACTGGCCACCGCAATAAAATACTGATTATTAAAGGACTAATTACATCGTAGGATAGAAACAGGACATGATTATTTATTTATTCATTTTCATTTTGGCTCAGTCCCTTTATTAATCTGGGGTCGGCCCAGTGGAATGAACAGCCAACTTATATAGCATATGTTTTACCCATATGTATGCCCTTCTAATCACAACCCATCTCTGGGAAACATCCATACACACTCAAACATTACAGACAATTTAGCCTACCCAATTCACCTTAACTTGTCTTTGGACAGTGGGGGAAACTGGAGCAAACCCACGCGAATGCAGGGAGAACATGCAAACTCCACATGGAAACACCAGCTGACCCAGCTGAGGCTTGAACCAGAAACCTTCTTGCTTTGAGGCGAAAGCACTACCTACTGTGCCACCATGTCGCCTTGAACATGATTATGAAGGCAAATAATTAATATTACTTGTATAATTAATTAGTATAAGTATCAGTGCGATACACTTATGAAGTAGGGTTGGGCATCTAAGCTATAATGCCGATCCGATACGCATCTCGATACAAAGAATACGATCCGATATATTAGCGATGCATTTGTGACATATTGCGATGCAACACGATACGATTCACACCCATATCACGATACGATGCGATATTTCAGCACTAACTAATTAGATCAAGTTTATGAGATGATGTGAAAGAGGATGCTGTGCCATTGAATGAGTTTGATTATTTATAAACCAAGCAAAACCAAGACTTTTTTACAAACTGGCTCTTCTCTCAGAGCCAGAGTGTCAGTTTACAGTAGAGGGCCATTTTAGAACCTACAGTATAGCACATATTATTTAAGTATTTTCAAGATAAACAGAATGTATAAGTGCAATATATATTAAAAAAATATGTATATATTTGCACTCTTTCAACATAAATAAAATTAGCATTGCACAACAAGAATTGTGATTTAACTTTTCAACTATGAAAACAAGTTTTACAAAGATATATTTTGCCACTGATTATTCAAAACTTAAGGCTGTGAACTAGCAGTGTTATGCTGCTTTGAAACAACACTGTCACTGTAAACAACAGGCTAATAAAAATATAACAAACCAGCAATCTTCTTGCTGTGAGGTGGTCAAACTACCCACTGTGCCACCGTGACACCCAATTATTTTTATCATTATTATTATTAATATTATCATTATTATAATTAAATAAAAATTAACAGGAGGAGGTGTTTAAAACCTTCGTTCTCCGTGACACTAGGCTGAATATCTTTGCAGGTGAATAGCATTCGTTATTGGCGTAGAGCGAGCAGAACTGTTGCGCATGGAAAAAAAAAAACTTGCAATGCTTTTCTCACCACTTTTGGAGCTGGTTGAAGCAGTGCGAAAGCCGGGGATGCAGAAACACTAGAAGATGCTTCCACAACAACACCGTGGCGCCGCTTCAAGTGAGATATCAGATTAGTCGTACTGCCCGCGTATTTTACAGATGCGCGGCACATTTTGCAAATTGCATCTGTCCTGTCATGTCGTCCATCCTTAAATCCATAATGTTGCTTGCCATACTTTAGATTTAAAACTCAGTGGGGAATAAAATGTTTGTTTTGCTTCTCGCGCTTTCTGAGGGCGCTCCACTAGCTTCATCCGCACACCTGATACACTGAGTTGTAGTGTGTGCACATCCGCAAATCCGTTGCTAAGGCTTACTTTAAGTAGGTCGATTAAATTATGCGCCAAAAACAGGTTGACAACACTTGTTAATAAATAAAAAAATACATTCTATATTAAAAATATAAGCTGTATCTCGGAAAAATCGATGCATCTCGCAAAAACTGATGCATCTCGATTTGCTTTCAAAATTTCATTCATCCTCTGCTGCTCAACCGATGCACTCGCATCGTGAACGCGCATAACCGCGTATCGATACATATCGGTTAATCTTCCCATCCCTATTATGAAGAGATAACCTTGAACATTTGATGTGCAGGTAGAGAGTTTGTGCTTGTAAACAACACTTCTACCAATTTGATTGGTTACATATTTTAATCAATTTTCAACCTGCTCATGTTAAATTCCTAGGTGTAAGTGGTTTTTGCCAAGCTAAAAATGCCAGCGTTCTCCTAAAAATGCTCAGCTGTGAGCACTTCTCCAACATTCTCACCATATTGTTCTAATAAAATGTGGTGCTTCCATTGTCAACAACTGAAGATTTACACTTGGTTCAGGAATAAAAACACTTTGGAGCACATGGACCCTTAAAAATGTGAATAACAATGTATGTTCTAGTTGGCTGACTCAAACAAGCCCTCAGTGCCTGAATGAGGTGTGAATGCACACTTAAGGTACATTCATTTAATTTCCATCTCTTTGATAATGTAGATGTCTGAGTGATTGTCAATGGTTATGTTGATTGAAGTAGGGCTGTTAAGACTTCTCAATGTGCAAAATCCTTTAACTGCCGTTTGAATTCACATCCTGTGTTTAAGTTCTCACTCAAAGCTTGCCCCCTAAAATGTATCTAAACTATGCCACTGTGCTTCTTTAAAGGTTCACGAAACCCTCAAGTACTTTTTTTGAGATTTTAACAGATTTGTGAGAGTTAAGCATCAGTTGAGACAATGTTAGCACTTGTTAGCTTTAATTGTGGGGAAAACTGGGTAATTTTGAGCTTTTGTCAGCTAATTTCTTCTTCCGGGTTTAAAATGATTTTTGGGGCGGGATCAAAATGGGCGACGTAGCGCAGAACTGCAAGTGCAAAGATAATGCGTTGGTTTCTCATTTTTATTCATAGTGGAGCTTTCTTATCCTATGAGAAGAGCCTGCTTCTTAATTATTCATGAGAGCACATGCTTTCTGAAGACAAAGCAGACCTGGCTGCCAGTGCCAAGCTCAGCTGTGAAATTCTATGTTGATGACTGGGTGAGACGCATCCGCGGACTCACTGTACGCATTATTCAGCTGTTCATGAAGGGTTGTATGTGTTTGTTTCCATGATCCACGGGGTTTGTTGCATGTGAACTGAAGGTGGGGGTGTCATGGCTTTTTAAGATAAGAATACTGCTTGAAGACACCTCAAAGTCTCCAGGGGTGGGTGCCAATCAGTTCCCTTTTTAGGAAGTCATTTAAAGGGATGTCTCTATAAATGTTTGCTGCCTGAAAAGTCCCAAAATGCATCATCAAAAAATCAGGGAGCATCGATTCAATGTTTCCTTAACAAAATTCAAAAGTGCGAATTCCATATCACATAAACCAAATCACCACACATAACATAAGACTTTCTCCATATAAATTTAACTCTAAATGTACACTCACCAGTCACTTTATAAGACAATTACTAGTAGCGGGTTGGACCCCCTTTTGCCTTCAGAACTGCCATAATCCTTAGTGACAGATTCAACAAGGTTCTGGAAATATTCCTTAGAAATTTTGGTCCATGTTGACATGATAGCATCATAGTTGCTGCAGATTTGTCGGCTACACATCCAAGATGAGAATGTCTTGTTCCATCACATCCAAAAGGTGCTCTATTGGATTGAGAAAAAGGCCATAGGAGGCCATTTAAGTACAGTAAACTCATTGTCGTGTTCAAGAAACCAGTCTGATATGATTCACGCGCTATGACATGGCGGGTTATCATACTGCAAGTAGCCATCAGA